GCCCAGCAGGAAGGCTGAGCTAGGTAGCCCACTTATTATTATTATTATTATTATTATTATATTAGCCAACAACAATTTTCTCCTTTTTCTTTTTTCTCCTTTTTTACAAGTACTCTGCTCTTTCTTTCTCCAATGCTACAAGTACTCTGTTCCTTCTTTCTCCAATGCTACAAGTACTCTGCTCCTTCGTTCTCCTTTTTTTTACAAGTACTCTCCTCCTTTATTTTATCCCCTTTTTTTCTATTTTTCTTCCTTCCTTTTTTTTTATTTATTTTTTTTATCTTTTCCTTTTTATCTCCTTTTTTATGCTTTTCTTTTACATTCCAATGAACAAAAGTAAGGCTGATGTATAGTGGGTAGGGGGTCTGTGAGGTTGGTAGGGGGGCTCTATAATGGGTGGGGGGCTGTGAGGTGGGTAGGGGGGCTCTATAGTGGGATGGGGCAGTGAGGTGGGTAGGGGGGCTCTATAGTGGGTAGGGGGCAGTATAGTGGGTAGGGGGCAGGGGGGCTGTGAGGTGGGTAGGCGGGTACATAGTGGGTGGTAGGGGGGCTCTATAGTGGTAGGGGGGCTGTGAGATGGGTGGGGGCTGTGAGGTGGGTAGGGGGTCAGAGGTGGGTATGGGGCTGAATAGTGGCTAGGGGCTGTGAGGTGGCTAGGGGGCTGTATAGCAGTATAGTGGGAAGGGGGGCTGTGAGGTGGGTAGGGGCAGTATGTAGGTGGGTAGGGAGAGGCTTGTGAGGTGGGTAGTGGGCAGTATAAGTGGTAGGGGTCTGTGAGGGTAGGGGGGCTCTATAGTAGGGTGGTGGGCTGTGAGGTGGTGCAGGGGGGGCTCTATAGTGGCTGGGGCAGTGAGGTGGGTAGGGGGGGGGCTCTATATGGGTGGGGCAGTATAGTGGGTAGGGGGCAGGGGGGCTGTGAGGTGGGTAGGGGGCAGTATAGTGGGTAGGGGGGCAGTGAGGTGGGTAAGGGGGCTGTATAGTGGGTAGGGGGTCTGTGAGGTGGGTAGGGGGCTGTGAGGTGGGTAGGGGGCTGAATAGTGGCTAGGGGGGCTGTGAGGTGGCTAGGGGGGCTCTATAGTGGGTTAGGGGGCAATATAGTGGGTAGGGGGGCTGTAAAAAAGTAAATACCTTTCGTGTCCTCTTGGTCCGGTGGGCAGCTTCCCAGTAACGTGCATGGGGGCGGAGCTTTGAGCGGGAGGCGGAGCTTCCGTTTGGGGGCGGAGTATGCGGCTATAATGATTTCAGACTGTGCAGGGAGACTGACAGGTCTCCCTGCAGCTGCTGGCAGCCACACCAGCCACACCAGCCCCCAGCTCCTCCCTCCTTCCTCCCCTCGGACTGACAGGCTGGCACAGTCCGAGGGGAGGATTTATCAGAATGATCATTAAGGCGGTCAGCCCAGCCCCAGCTGGGCCAGTCCGGGCCTGCCACCCACTCTCTCAAACGGGGGATTTAGCTGTCCAAATCCCTACCGCCCACCAGGAATCCTGAAACGCCCACTAGTGGGCGGTAGGGACCAGGTTGACGACCCATGCTCTAGAGGGTAAATTTAACCAATTTTTCAAAACATCAAAGCTTTTCAATTGATGGTCATTATAGAGATCTTTTATCTTATGGTTAGAGTCTTTATACCAATTCGTCAAATTTATCTCTAGCATAAAACATTCTAACGACCTCAAACTCAAATTCTCATATATTTTTCTGTTAATATTCATCTTCTTCTTTATAGTCGTCCATTCTTTTAATGTCTGTGATAAAGACAAAGGACAGTGAGAACCAGTCTCACACAGATGCCTATTCTGGCTTGCCTCTCTCCATAAGAGGAATTCGAGGTTATCTAAACCAAGTCTGGCTGCTTCAATTTTATACCAGGCTTGGTCTATAGAGTCGCTTAATTGTAATTTACTGGCATGAACTAGTATATTAGCCTGGTAAATTTGATTAACAAGGGGGTAACCCAACCCCCCCTGGTAGGCCTTCCTTGATAGATGGTAAGTACTAATTCTTGGTCTCTTCCCTCTCCAAACATACGCTGTAATGCTAGTTTGCAGCATATTCAGCCAATAGCTCGAAATCGAGAGAGGGAGCATACTAAATAAGTATGCCCATTTAGGTATTATATAAGCTTTAATAGTATTTATCCTTCCCCACCAGGAAATTTCATGCACTCTCCATTCTTTTAATAACATATTAGTCTCTTTTAACAACTTCAAAAAATTAGTTTCCATAGTCCGACTTATCTCTGCCGTTATAGTTACCCCCAAATATATATACTCTTTTTTTGTCCATTTAAAGTCGAAGTCTCTCTTTAGGGAAAATAGATTATCTTTATGGATGTTAATCGACATGGCTATTGTTTTATTCATATTCAATTTATTATTTGAAACACTACTATATTTATTAAATTCTTGCATTAAATACGGGAGAGAAACCAGAGGATCCGTAATAGAAATTAAGATATCGTCAGCATATAGACATATCTTCCATTCATCAAGTTGGGTTCCTATACCTTTAATCCCAGCATTTTGTCTAATGTTATTTGCCAGTGGTTCAATTGATAAGATGTATAATAAAGGTGAAAGAGGACACCCCTGTCTCGTCCCATTTTTAATATTAAACCAGTCTGAACATAAATCACGGGCTACTATACGGGCAGAAGGATTCGAATATATAGCTCCCACTGCACTCAGGAACCATCCGTTAAAACCGAACTGTATCAAAGTTTTATTCAAATACCCCCATCCGACCCTGTTGAAGGCCTTTTCTGCATCCACCGACAGGGTCAGAAGGGGGGTTCCCTCAACTTGAGCCCATTCTTTAATATCTAAAACCCTACGAGTGTTATTAGAGGAATGTCTTCCCTGCATAAAACCTATCTGGTCCCTGTGTATAAGTGATGGCAAAACTATTTTCAAACGTTCCGCTAAAATTGCGGCGTAAAGTTTCATCTCAACATTAACCAGAGAAATAGGGCGATAATTACTCACATCATCTGAACTTTTACCCTGTTTCAAAATTGGAGTAATATGAGCCCTTAATAGATCTTGAGATGCATTCCCTTTGGTTGCCAATTCATTAAAGGTGTCAGTTAACAACGGAATTAATTGTCTCTTAAAAACCTTAAAAAACAAGTTTGTGGCTGCACCCACAGGACAGGGAATATACCCATTTTTCACAAGTACACAACACCTACTCGAGAATAGATGGCTTCCTACTGCACGGTGCACACCTCAACAGGGTGAAAACGTGTGAGATAGGGTCCTCCACTTGGTCAGACCATAACCCAGTGACACTCACTATTGAGGACCAATACAACTACAAAAACCGTAGCCCCTGGAGATTGAATGAACAACTCCTAAACGATCCCGAGTTCGCCCTATCACTACAACAAGACATGCAAACATACTTCAATAACAACAACAACCAAGACATATCCCCCATGACCCTGTGGCTGGCCCACAAACCGGTGATCAGAGGACTGCTGATCCGCAGAGCCTCCTACCTCAAGAAAACACACCACACAACACATATCCAAAACCTGAAAAAATTACATGACCTCCACAAAAGCAACCAGATCTCCCCCTCCAAAGGCACACAAGAAGAAATAACCAAACTCCAACGCCACATCAACACAGCAAACTTCCAAAAAGCGAGTTACGCTATTAAAAAACTAAAAGCCACAACCTTCGTATTGGGGAACAGAGCCAGTAAAGCACTGGCCCAGAGACTCAGAGACAGGCAAGCCCAAACCAAAATCCCCTACCTACTGACCCCCACAGGCCAGAAGCTGATACAGCCCACGGAAATATGTAACGCGTTTGCGAACTATTACAGCTCCCTCTACAACTTAAAAGATAATACGTCTGTCACACAGCCGACAAACACCTCAATACAAAACTACCTAGACGGGATTGATCCCAAACTCACAGCCCACCAAGTAGCACATCTCACAGAACCGATCTCTACTCACGAGGTAACACAACTAATAGAATCCATGCCAAAATCAAAAGCCCCAGGCCCTGATGGCCTCACTAATCTCTACTACAATACATTCAAACTCACCTTAAGCCCCTATATCGCACGAGCCCTCAACTTCGCTACGACACAGGGCTTCGCGCCAACCGAATTCTTAGCGGCCCACATTATCACTCTCCCGAAACCCGGTAAAGCACCGACACATTGCCCAAACTTCAGACCCATCTCACTTCTCAACGCAGACGCTAAATTATATGCAAAAATATATGCGGAACGCTTAAAACACCTACTACCAAACTTGATCGCGACGGACCAAGTGGGGTTCGTGACAGGCAGACAGGGCCCAGATAACTCCCGCAAAGTACTAGATATCCTCCACTATCTCGACCGGGCCAAACAGCAGTGCACGATACTATCACTAGACGCGGAAAAAGCGTTTGACCGGCTCAATTGGAAATTCTTACAAGCAACGCTACACAGATACGGATTCCCACCTACATTCCTGAATATGGTCCAAACACTTTATAGCTCGCCGTCGGCCACTGTCCTGAACTCGGGCTTTGGCTCCAAGGTATTTAACATAACGAACGGCACACGCCAGGGATGTCCACTTTCCCCATTACTTTATGTTTTAGCCCTTGAACCGCTCGCCAT